TTCAAAACCATAGGCTTCTACTGGCTAGACGCCCCCCCCCCATGTAGAACGCCTGCTGTGTGCATCATTGATGGATGCTCTAGGAGTTGAAAACGCAGAACAAGTGTGCCTTAGGGCCAGGGCTGCTCCATACACAGAAGGTTTGCAGCTTGTACCCAAACTTGAGCTGTTGCTTGCATTCATGTGTCCCCTAATGCCTCTGGCGAAATCCTTACAACAGCCAGTCCTGTAGCTTGGATGGTTGGGTGAGCAAATAGAGAAGAAGTAAGAAGAATTCTACTTTTGGAGTAGATCTGCATGACTTTCAATCTTAGCTGCAACAGTTTGTTCCAATTACAGTGCTTGTCAAGGGAATACTACAGTTTCAGTAGAAAGTAGAACAATAGACAGAACCCAACATTTTGCTCGGATTCAACAGTTCCAAGGCTGAACCTGACTAGTTAGGTCTGGAGATACAGGCCCAAATCCTTATCACATAGTTACATGGTGTAAACCCGATGGTGTCATCATCCAGCGGCAGTAATATTTAATGTAAGCTAATTTAAAGCTTGCAATTCCCACCACAACTCTTTTGGGCTACGGGGATCTCTAAAGCTCCCTTTTGCTAAAGGGAAGCCTTTAGGAGCTATATGTTGGGGGTCTTTTGTCAAAAATTGCCACTGGATCCCCGTTGGCAGCCCTTATTCAGGCAGCAACAATTTGGCAGTGATTTTGGACGATTAAGACTTTCCCTGCTTCTCCACTCTCTTGAAACTCACAAAGGCTTCCTCAAGGCAAAAAGATAACACTAGGGACCCTGAAAGAGGGGGTCTTTTGATTATTTTAAATTAAATATACTGGTGACAGAGGATAATGTCATCTGATTTGAGCTATAAAACTTTATACAAATGGATTTTGCCCATTATTTAGTTAGGCATCCTTCATTGTCGAAAGACTATGGTAACGTGCTCTGTATGGAGGACTTGGAACAGCATCTAGTGTGGCTGAGAAGGCCAATTCGAGAGTGACAATCCCTTCCACACTGAAGACAAATACAATTTGTCCCCTGTCCAGTTGCCTGATTTTGCTGCTTCCAGGACTGCCTCTTTGCCTCGGCCTGCTGGATAAGGGTCTCTTCAAATTGGGAGAGGCTGTGATGCAATGCCTGCCTCCAGGCTGAACGCTCAGATGTCAGGGTTTCCCATCTGTTGAGGGCCATTCCTAAGGCCTTCAGATCCCGCTTGCAGGTGTCCTTGCATCACAGTTGTGGTCTTTTCTTCTCTGGAGACAGTAAGCATGACTCCCCATGTTAAAAACAAAGAATGCTGCATATCCTCACTTATGGTCGGTGTATTTTTTCCCTTGGATGTTAGCCTTGAATTCCACTGATTTCATGTATCAGCTTTCGCAGACCACTTAGCGAAAGGTAAACATTGAATTCAATAGCAGTGAAATACATTCTAAACATTCAACAAGCTTCAACAACCATCCTTTGAATGCAGGGGTCACCTGTCAAACTAAACTAAACTAATCTGCAGTCTTCTCGTGTAAGTTAAGGTCATCCGCAACAGCATCTTCAGTTTATCATGAAACAATTACCTGCCTAAAATTGCCCTGATTCAGAAACAAGTGCTTTCAGGCACAATTAGATTTGTAGCAACTACTCAGCACCTGAAAACCGTCCACCAAGACAAATGAGCATCTTGAAAACCGTGACTAATGGATAACCGCGTGAAGTACGGCAGATGTTGGGCACTTTCAGACCCCAGGTGTCAAGTAACTTTAGGCATGTGGATTTTACCCGTGACACTATGTCTGACTCCCTTTCCCCCTAGACCAGCCCTGCATGCTATGGGCTCACAACTGTGTGCCACTCCAAACAAACACAACATTCTACTTTAGTTGTGCTTAAGTTGAGGGCTCATGCCAAGAATGGTCGAAACGTACGCCATTGAAGAAATCAACCTTTGTTTGTTTTACATGGACAACATTTCTAGGTGATCTTTTCATGTGACGATGACACACAGAATGGCTGGGGAACCTGGCACTTCCAGGAATTGAAATAGCATAGCTAAGTGGTTCCCAAGGTTGGTGGTACCCACTGAACCCAGGACTCCATCTCCCAGAAACCTTGGACTCCATCTCCCAGAAACTCTGGTGAGCACATCTGTTGGCAAAGGCTTCTGGGAACTGCTGTCCAAGAGGCACCGGTTGTGGGTTGTCAATCTTTTTGCGATCGCAATTGTGATAGCAAAACGATGGTCTAAATGGTTTTTTTTCGCTTTGCGATGATCGGTTCCCTGCTTCGGGAACCGATTCTTCGCAAAACAACGATTTTAAAACAGCTGATCGGTGGTTTCAAAATGGCCACCGGGTAAACAAAATGGCTGCCCACTGTTTTCTGGGACAGATTCCTCACAAGACAGACAGCGAAAACAGCTGCCCTATGGAGGATCTTCGCTGGACAGTGAGTTTTGACCCCATTGGAAAGCATTGAAGGGGTTTCAATGTGTTTCAATTGTTTTTTTCCCCGCTTTACGATGTTTTCGCTTAACGGCGATTTTCCTGGAATGGATTATCATCATTAAGCGAGGCACCACTGTATGTATTTTTGAAGCACAGCGTATTTGGTCCCTGGTTCAATCACAGGTATTGATTAGATTCCAATTGCTTTTCACAAAAGTGACAGCAGTTTATTGTTGACTGTGTTACCTCATGGCGAGTTAGCAAGATGGTGAAGCAGACGCTTCCAAAACTTCTTAGGGTTCTTTTGTATAGAGCGTTATATTTCAAAATGGTGTAGAGGGCATTAGAGACTCTCCAGAGTTGGAGGCCTTCAAGAGAAAATTGGACCACCCTCTGTCCGATCTGCTTGGATTTGGATTCCTGCCTTCAACAGGGAGTCGATGGCCTTAAAAGCTCCTTCCAACTCCATTTTTCTCTGATTCTATGACACATCCCCTCAATATCTAACCTTTTCATATTGCTACAGAAAGTCCAAAAAAAAAAAAAGACTGGTTGCCACATTAAGCTGAGCACACGTTCAACCTTCCATGGGTTCAAAAGCTCTTCCACTTGGGCAGAACTCTGAAGCCCCATCCATCTGTTACAGCTGCTGTCCAGTTCTTTCTCAGCAACAGAGGGAGTGGATGAGCAGGACTGGAGGCTGTGCTTGCAAATAATGACCAAACAGGGCCAAGACTCAGAGAGGAAGTGAAGTATGAAGACAAATATTTTCAATCCAAGAAGACCACAGACTGGAGAGGACAGGGCAAACTGCAAAACTACACCGCTTACTTTTGAGGCAGATCTCGGATAACTTTGGAGTTCCTCAGAGTTTCAGTCACCCAAAAGTATCAGAATAAGATAATAATGTCCTGGTTCGGTAGTCCCTTTAAAGGTTCTGTCTCTTTGTCTCTATAGGGTTATCCACTCCTGGTTCATGAATGCCCATTCTTTGACTCTCATGGACCAAAATGGAACACCTTAGTCCCCCAGGGTCACATTTTGTTGTAGAACTCACAGAGAACTCCACCTGCACTGTATTCATTCTGAAGGATGGCCACCTGCACAGCTGTAAGCTATGTGCCCAACTTTCATCCATACAGCACATACCATTTTTAATACAAAATAAATTGGGACAAAAATGATTTCAGCAAATCTATTGCATTTTGCCATTACAGTGTAATTTTATCCCAGCCGGTGTAAGGTGCTGCCATTTTAAAAAAGTTCTATACTGGCCAGGGAGGGGCAGGATGGCACCTATGGTGCTGTGCCGGCAAGCCACTGGGAGCCTCCAAGCTGAAGTTTATCCCCATCTCTAGTCCTAGAAGTATAAGCCAGGCCTGTACACATGTGGATGTTTTCAAAGCTTTTTTTTTAAAAAAAGATACCCATACAAATTGATTTTATGTTTTATGGTATGGCTATTTGTGCTATAATTCAGTGTTTAATGTTTGTTAATGTAAATGGGGTGGTATGTAAGTTAAAAGTAATAAAGAAGTAAATACCGTATTTTTCGATGTATGAGACTATACTTTTGTGTAAAATCTTTAGACTAAAAATTGAGGGTCATCTTATACACGGAAGTAAGCTGAGGAGAGAAAAAACAAGTGGAGGGGAAAGCAGGGATCAAAGTGATCCTGCACGGCTTTGATCCCTGTTTTCCCCTCCACTTGCTAAGCCCCACTTAGATTTCTTAATTTTGTGTTAGAAAAGTAGGGGGCGTCTTATACATGGGGACATCTTATACACAGAAAAAATATGGTAATAAATGCCATTTTTAAATAAACTTGAATGCCAAGAAGTATATATTCTGGTTCTTAACAGGCTGGCCCGCTTCAGGAAGAACACTGGAATTTTCTGTGGTTACTGGAAATAGAAGACATTGACATTAAACCCGAACCCGGCTACTAATTCTCATTACATGAGTATTCTCAGAGAGAACTTACTCCATCCAAGTTCTTTTACTCTGGTGGGAGAAGGCTAAATATTGAGAAATGCTCTGTGTTCACATCCCTATTATGCGAGGATATCTCCAGTTCACCACTTAATATGGGACTGCCCTGATGCTAATGACCTCTATATGGGTATAGTGCAGTAATGAGTTGGGATTTCAGCCAAAGCTTTCATATCCAATTTTTGTTTCCATAAGCACATGATCTAGAAACTTGACCACAATCTTGTGGCTTTTTGTTTGTTTTATTTTGAACATCCAAGCTGAAATTCTTAGGACACTTCCTAGTTGGACCACGTGCTGAAAGCTAGCTTTCTTCACTCCTGGTAGCAAATATTGGTCATGGGGGAAAAATGAACATCACGTAAATTCAATGACACTTTCCTTTTTCAATGAACTTCCCAGGCCAACTGGAGGTGTCCTAAATGATTTCTGACATGAGGCAACCCAAATGGAAGCTCTTCTATTTGCAGTCATCTATCTTCCCCAAACCAGCTTCCAAGAGCACCCCTTTTGCTGAAGAAAGTAAAGCAATGCTCATACGTTGCATGGATTTTAAACTCACTCTTGCGCTCTGGCCCGCGATCAGCTGGTCATCTTCTGTCTGCACACTTGTCCGGCTGCGAACATCATAATCTTCCTGCTCAAAGTCAGAGTCATCTTCCAGCTCTTCGGGAGTCTGGATTTTAAAGACAAAGAGGAAAAGAAAGAGCAAGAAGAGGAGAAAGGGTAGGCTTTAAAAGGATGCAGGCAAATCCTGGCAATCACTTATATGTTCCTCTTTCATCAGCTACCTGCCTAAAGAACACTGTTTCTTCTTCATATTAAATTAACTTGTCTCCAAAGGCAGGCAGGACCCCAAATTGAATTGTCATTTTTTTTTAATGATGCTCTTCCAGCCCTGCTTCCCCACCCCCCGCCCCACAAGTAGCATCCATCATCACCTTGCTGTGATCTCTCTTCCCTCCGTTAACAGGGTAAGAACACATTTTGCAAACTAACCCCCACAGGCTGGTTTCCCCTCCCCCCCCCAGTCCTAGAATGTGATATTTCAAAATAATTATATTTGGTCTCTGGATAGAGAACACCGGTAATATTATCATGCCAAGCTGACTGGAAAATCTCTCAAGAGATTAAGGGAAGGACCTCACAAAAAGGCACTTTGAGCCAGGAGTAAAGCCAAAAGACCGGAAACATAACACAGAGCTCCCACACCACCTACTGCCCCAAATGCAATTTGATTTGGACCGATTCGTGAAGTGCCGTTCATTTATTTATTACTAAGCCGGTCAGAATGGGCCAAGGAGGTGGAGCCAGCGTGAAGGTTTGGACAAGAATGCAGTATCATTCATCTGTGCCTGGATCTTCTGCTTCCACATTCCCCTTCACAGTTCCAGAGGTAGTGAGGAGCTCTGCTTTTAAAAGGGAGAGATGAGTCGTAGAAGACCATCCATGGCAATAGGGTTTCTAGTGCCCTCCTTGTCACAACTCAAGTGATGGCAAGGCACAAGATATGAGGGGCAAGGAGAGAACCTCAAAAGCTCTCCTTCCAGGGGAATCAAGATTTCATTAGCATGATCGCTTTGTGGTGTTTCCAAAGGACACTATAGGACAGATGTTCCTCTCCCCCAGTTCTAGCCTCTTCTTTCCCTTGCTTGCTCCTCTCCCTTTAAAACCCACATAAAATAAGCAGGAGTTCTGTGCACATAAGAGGACAGCAGTCAGGATAACCTTTCCAGAGTAACAGGGGGAAAACGTAGCTCTCCCACACTCTGAAGGGAGGCTGTGCCATAGACCTTGACAGCCCAATAGAGAAGGGTATGGACCACTGAAATGGTAGTCCATTTTGGTTTGTGGAAGTCCATAACCAACAAATTTATAGTTTTTCCTGAACGAACCACAAATCGGTTCATCAGCTCCTGCAGCCACAGCCTAAACTGTGCCCCCTTTCCCCCTACCTCCATTGCTTCCCTACTTTGTCCTGGTGTTGTCTCTTCCCCTCCCTCCACTGCCTTTTTTTTAAGGTACCTGGCTCTCACAGGCCGGTGGCCTCTGTGAACATCTGAGAGGTGGAGACAAGTACAGGAGTCAGCTGCTTTGCAAGATGGTGGCGGCCGCGGTGGAGCAAGTGGCAGGAAAAGGTAGGGAAACAATGGGGGCAGTTGGAAGGGGCAGGGAGCAGGTGGGGGGGCAATGAAACAGGATGTTTGTTGGGTCACCCAAAAAATTCATTGATTCGAGAAAGTTCAGGTTCCCTGGTTTGGATGAACCTGAACTGATCTGAATAACGAATTTGCACTTTTTGACAAACTTCCCGGTTTGTGGTTAGCTTTGTGCTCATCTCTAGAGCCCAACACTCTAGAGCACAGGGTTCAAAGGAGCAGTGAAGTTGCAGGATCCATCCATCATTTGCAACCTTCTTCAGGTGACAGAAGGCTATGTATAACCTTTCCTTTGCCATCCCTGCTCCAACCAAACCACAACAATTAACAAGGGCAGGAAGATATTTTAATCAGACTGTGTCTTATCTGAATTTTATCCTACAACGGCCTTCTGACATGGAATAGGGGGTGAGGACGCTTTTCGCATCCAGATATTTTGAACGTTTGCTCCCAGAAGCCATATCATGCCAAGGATGGTCCATGACTGGGAATTATGGGACTTGGAAGTCCATGCTGCTTAAAATTTCCATGGATTATTGGCATGAGCAGTTTCTGTGGAGCTCAGAATCATGGAAAACTGGAATTAAAAGGGAAGGAATGTAAAAGGATAGGTGAGGAATATTAACAAATAACAGGACATCAGGTTATCAGCAATGACGGCCAAATTAAGAGGTAAGTTTGACTCAGAAGCTGTCATAAGGACTAGACCTTATCACCTGATGTAATACTTGCCTCCTAGATGTGGCTGGTTGCTCTCTCTGGCCTACTTCTCAAGGCATTATAAAAGCCCCATGTCTGAGATATGGAAAGAGGTCGAAAGGGGATCAGAGAATAACCATATTGTTCTATTCTCATTTCTAACTACTGTATTGCTTATATTAATATCTTTAGCTGCCTAATCCTTTAAGTCTGCTTGGATTGATTGATTGATTGATTGATTGATTGATTGATTGATTGATTGATTGATTGATTGATTGATTGATTGATTGATTGATTGATTGATACCCCACTCATTTAGACAATGTTTACTCTGGGCGGCTAACAATAAAAATAGACTAAAAGCAATCTAATATGTCAAAACAACAATTTAACAACAATTCCAAATGGAAAAATAGAAATTAAGTGGTGACCGGGGGGAGGCCTGCCTAAAGAGCCTAACTTTTGGAGAAGTTAGGACCAGGGATGCTTTGAGACAGACACTATCTGTGCAGGCTCCTGTCAGTGCATCATGACATCTCCTCCAAAATACTCAAGGGAGGGTTCATATTTACCACCAGTTTCCCAACTCTTGCATCAGTGAAACAGAATGAGAAACCCCTACAGTAAAGTTACTGTAAAGCAGCCATTCTCAACAATTTCTTTTATTTTGGGGGGTGGGGTGGGATGGGGGGCCCACAGCCATAAACATAATATGAAAGAAATACAGGCCAAATCAGGGTTGTGTAAAGTCACCTAACGAACCTTATAAGGTGGTGTGTGAAGAATTGTTTCCATCCTGTGGCTCCTTTCGGATGCGCCACAGCCCCCCAGAGGGCTAATATGGCCTCCCGCATTGAGAATGACTGCTCTTTAAAACACTGTCTGCAGTTCCGGTTATCTTGTCCATGCTGACTTGAGCAAGGGGTAGGGGGATCCTCCCTGATATTCTGGGAGGAGGAATCCAGTCCTGCCCTACTGGGCAGCCTCTGGTCCATATTATAAAACCTGCAGAAGAATTTGCTCTGGAAAGGGAACACAGTGGTGTATTCACCATATAAGGAGACAAACAAACGCCAGCTCCAGGAATGTGAGAAAAATGCTCAGTCCATCTCACTGTTGAAACAGATGTTAGTCCTTGAGTTGCAATGAGCAAATCTAAGTGATGGAAAAAAATATTGCCAACAGCAGGAGTGACGCTGAACAGCCTGTCGTACGAGGAGAAATAAGATGCAGAAGAGGACACGCATTGTGTTGCTTCTGGACTTTCTCGGCTGGGTTTCATTCCAGCAAGGTGTCCCAGGGAAATACTGTAAGTAATTGAGGCAAAAACTGTATGTACCAGCCTGCCTCCAGGGTGATGAAAGAAACAAGGCAGGCCAGTCTATTCCTTTCAATTTCAGCTGCTGAAATTATCTGGCTAAATATATTACACTGGGAGTATTTTTTTTTTCTCTTCCCCCAACTCCTAAAAGAGTGGCAGAGGGAACTAATTTTCTCCCCACCTTGATTACTAACACGATTAAGATGTCTTTACATCTCTGGTTCACCTCCACGTAGGTGGCAAAATGCAGCTCGACAGAGATGATGCTTCTTCCCTTTCGATTACCAGAATGAGGTGAAAGGAGACCCCTTTTGTGTGTGTAGTTTGAAGAATAGGCTTCCTTTCCTACGTGCTGTAAAACAAATATCCCTGCTAATTTCTTTGTTCCATGATGTGTACTCCGAACAACTACTGGAGGTGGGGGGGATGAATGGCTCTGACAGAAAATCTGATGTGATTACGAGTCATTTTAGCGCTCAGGCTTTTCAGAAAAGATTTAAAGAGCAAAACAGGAGACTTACTGTGCCTGAACAAACAGTTCTGAAATTATGTTCTAAAAAGGAAATTTAAGCTCCAATTTAGTGCCTTCAGTACACACTGAGCTAATGGGCCCGGATCCCTTCAATGTCAGTCTATAGGTTTCAGAAATATCAACAGAAACATCGCCATATTTCCTGTGAGAGGAGACAAACCTTCCAGTGGAGTGACATGAATTCGGGCTGTTAAATAAGCTGGTTGAAGGCAGGCTGATGAAAACAAACTCACAAAACCTTCCCTCCCAATTATTATGCTGTTTAGTTTATTAAGTGGGGAAGGAGAAGAAAGAAAACGGCTGATAAAATCAAATCAACTGGTTACTCAACGTTGAAATGACAATTTCCCTACCTGAATAAACATTGAGAACTACCCCTTTGGAGATTCACTGGAGCAGCAAGTTAATTTATTTATTCATTTAGATATTAAGAACACCTATCTCTTACCCTGAGCTCAATACGTACATTAATGAGGCACAAACAGTTCTAATCTTCATTACACAATTGAACTATGGTAAAAGCTAGATAGCTGGATGCTGTGGGTAATGTGCTATTTTTCTGCACAAGAGGGGTGTGTGCAAAGGGGGGGGATGTTTGCCTACTGTTCGTTTTCAGAGTTGATCAGGACTGAATTGCAGATCAGAGGTAAACACTTTCCAGAGCTGCCTTCCAACCCTGTTGTGATTCAGATGATGGATCTGGAAACGGATTGTATCCACTTTGCTGTTACCATTACATACAAGGGAATTAAGCATTGGTGGACTATGATTAACCAGGGACATGGTGGCGCTGCAGATTAAACCACAGAAGCCTCTGTGCTGCAAGTTTGGAAGACCAGCAGTTGTAAGATCGAATCCACGTGACGGAGGGAGCGCCCCTCGCTCGTCCCAGCTCCTGCCAACCTAGCAGTTCGAAAGCATGTAAAAATGTGAGCAGATAAATAGGTACCACCTTGGTGGGAAGGTCACGGCGTTCCGTGTCTAGTTGCGCTGGACACGTGACCACGGAAACTGTCTTCGGACAAACACTGGCTCTATGGCTTGGAAATGGGGATGAGCACCACGTCCTAGAGTCGGACACGATTGGACTCAATGTCAAGGGGACTATGATTAAGGAGGGGGAAGTACCTCCGGAAAATATTGGGGTGAGCCTCCCTCAATTCGCAAGATTTATGAAAGAAGGTCTAAGTATTCTGGCCCAGTCCATTGCCAGTGATTAAAAGGGCACCACGGGAAAGACCACAGACGAGGGAAGAAATACTGCTGGAATAATCTTGGCTAGAGACGGCCACAAATAATAATAATAATAATAAAACACAAACCAGGCAGTTTGTGAAAAATTGCTGGTTCATTGATTGAGATTGGTTTGGGTTTGTCCAAACTGGAGAACCTGAACTCATCTGAACCACAACTTTTTTTTTTTTGGCATTTTCAAAAACTTCCTGGTTTCTCCACCCCCTCAGTGCCCTCATCACCTCCCTACCTTGTCTTTTATGATCCTTCCCAGAAGGAAAGCTATTGGGGAGGGCAGTGGGAAGGGGATGGGGGGTTGTTTCCCCTTAAAAAGGAGTGAACTTAAAAAGATTGGTTTTGGTTTTTAAGTTTGGATGGTTCGTGAGTCTTTGTGGTTTGTGCCCATCTCTAATCCTGGCACCTGACAGGTACCATATTAATTTAGTTCCTGAATCTAAGGGATATAACGTGTCATGTAAATATTCCAAGTATATCCTGGGGGATGGGGGTTGCAAAGAAAAAAATATTTTGAGATTTGGAAGGATGCAGTCTTGGGATGCATTTCCCCCTGACACAACCTACGTGATGGGATTTTATTCCACTAAATTGTTTCATCCATTTAGGAAAGGTAGGAATGGTGAGGTACAGTGGTTAGTCTAGAACTTGAGAGATCTGGGTTTAAGTCTTTACTCAGCCAGGAAACGCACTGAGTAACTTTTGGCTCAATGCAGTCTTTCAGTCTAATTGGCCCCATAGGGATAAAGTTGGAGGGGGAAAGACCTACAAGAATGCCTCAAGCTTATGGAGGGAAAGGGGGGCATATCACATGAATATTAGTTCACACTGTTGCGTAAACCAGCATAGATGTGAACATTCAGTCCCATCCCATCTTTAACACGCATGCCAGGCACACCCATCACTTGCGGGTGGTGATGGTGATGGAATCTATCTCAGTGGCATTCTTCACCCTACACCTCTTTGGGTCCTTTTAACACTCGAATTCAGCACCTCCAGTTGCACACAGGTTGAGCAAAACCTTTCACTGACATTGCCCACCCACGTGCATGTTCATGCAAGCTCCATTTCAGGCAATTTTTGAGAGCCACAATGAAGGGGATGGGTGCTAGGTCTGGTAGGATGCTGGGTTTGGGACAGCAGAAGAGTTCCTTTTTGGACTACAGCTCCCAGAATCCACTCACCAATAGGACTGCATTGGCAGGAGGATTCTGAGAGGTGCTGAAAAGGTGATGGTTTCAAATACTAGGTCTGGATGTCAGAAAGCCACTTGGGGGAGCAGAAGGACTCAATTCTGAGGAAACTCATACCCAGATACACTGGTTAAGGGATTCTGAGTATACTAACCCAGAAATGGAACATTTCCAATCTCCTGCTTTGCATGGGGGAAAGAAACTATCAAGTTCAACGTGGCATCTCTAGGTAGTAATAGTTAGGACTCTTGACTGTGACTCCAGAGATCCACTTTGAATGAATATTGGCAGTATGGGGGGGGTGTATTTGTCCGTAGAGTAATCTTCTGACTCAGGAAAAGCAAGCTTTTTATGTTCCCACATGATTCATAGATCTGAGTTCCAGCTGAGGAGACACCTGGTTTAAGGCTCAGCGTCCTTTCTATTTCATGTTAATCTATTTCACAAGGTTGGTGGAAAAACCAAGCATGCCCCAAGGGAAGGATCAAACCTATTTTTAAAAATAGATTTCCCCCCCCCCACCCAAAATGTGATCAGTTCTGGAGTGGAGGAAATCTCGTCCGTGACAAAACAATGCAAATGCCAGGCAGCAGTTCCCTTTCTGCTTTCCATCAGCTTTTTCCCCTCCGGGCTGAATTTTTCTCCGTTTCCCCAGATCCCTTGACGTACCCTTATCATCAGAACAGCTTTCCGGATGTCACGAACTCCATCATAAACCAAGCGGGAGGCGTCTATGAACTCGTTCTCTTCAAATGGCTGCGGGATGTTCGCACTCAGAGCTTCAATGGCCACTTCGACTTGTTCAGCAAAACGTGGCATAACTAGATTAAACCAAATGAAAGGCAGTGAGAAGGCAGGCCTCCTTTCATGTACCTACTTCCTGCCCTCGGGCATAAATATTTTCTAGCAGTCCCTGGAACATGCTGATGCTGTGGCACCGGGGCATGCAAAATGTTGTACAAGAACCACAAAGCTTTATTTTTTTCCCCTTTCATTTGATTCTGGAATGATCTCTTCCTACCATTCAGGACTGCTGGGAGGGAAAATGAGGAGAACGACACACACACAGCTTGTGGAACAAAAACAGTTTAGCATCAACTTTTAAAAAATAAAATAAAATCACATCAACAGGCAGTCTCCTCTGTGTTCATCTGTAACTGTACAACTGTTTTTGTACATCTTTCTTCAGTGGCACAAAGCTGCTTACTGATCTACTGTAAATTGGGCATTTCTCACTAAATATCCAAATGTCTTTGTCACTTAACAAACCATGCCATAATGCTTCTAGCAAAGCTGATCGTCCCCCGCCCCCTCCGTGGTTCACTTACAAGAGTCGTATTTATTTTACTTCTGAAAATGAAATATATATAAATAAAAGGATATACATATAGGGGTGGTGCTGGAGGAGGCTCTTGAGAGTCTCCTGGACTGCAAGGAGAACAAACCTATCCATTCTAGGAGAACAAACCTATCATTTCTAAAGGAAATCAACCCTGAGTGCTCACTGGAAGGACAGATCCTGAAGCTGAGGCTCCAGTCCTTTAGCCATCTCATGAGAAGAGAGGACTCCCTGGAAAAGCCCCTGATGTTGGGAAAGTGTGATGGCAAGAGGAGAAGGGGAAGACCGAGGATGAGATGGTTGGACAGTGTCAATGAAGCTACCAACATGAATTTGACCCAACTCTGGGAGGCAGTGGAAGACAGGAGGGCCTGGCGTGCTCTGGTCCATGGGGTCACAAAGAGTTGTACACGACTAAATGACTAAACAGCAACAACATATAGGAGGGAATGTATGTTCTGTGAGAACAACACTTCTCCTTCATCTTTAAGAGCTACAAGAGGGCAAGTACAAAATCTGAATGTGGGAAATGTCAAAACATGGAGTCATCCATCCCTGTTGAAAGGATGGATGACTTCCCAATGAATGGATGTGCTGGAGGCACCTCTGGAACGTGGTTTAGAAATTAATCACTTAACACCACCACAACCGACATGTCTTTGACTGCCAACTCCAGTCAAGGCTTGGAAACATTGTTGGATTAAAACTGCCCCGAATTCCCCAGGTCAGGGGTTCCCAAATTGTACGCCATGGCTCTGGAGGACACCGTGAAACCTGGGCAGGGATCCCACAGTAAAAGGGATGGAAGAGAGAGCTAGGAAATGATCCTTCCTCTAGAAGAATTTAGAGGAGCTGCTCATGAATGGCTTCTTCAGTGCTCTCATAGCTTTATGTCTAAAAGGATAAGGAAGTGGAGGTTGTGTTCCTGCCTCCCCATCTCTATGGTCCCTGGTGGAAGTGCTTGCTGGGTAGCCTCAGGAGTTTCCCATATCAGGACCTGGGAGGATGGTTTTGGGGAGAGATTAGATGGTTTGGGGGGGATGTTGATGGTCAAGATCCTGCTCCTGGTGGCAGATATTGCCTGATGGCTCTTCTGAGCTAGGGGAGCCATGGCCAGTGGTCAGAAAATGAAGGGAGTTGTGAAGCCAAAATCTAGGGGAGCCATGGCCAGTGGTCAGAAAACGAAGGGAGTTGTGAAGACAAAACGTTTGGGAACCACCGACCCACATAGTACGGACAATGTGATGCCGGCGGGAGCATTTTGGGATTTGTAATCCAAACAAAGTAACTATGCTTTTGGAATTCAACTATAGGCCAACTTTGCTATTCCCCAGTAAGCCTGGAAGATGCTCACTTTGAATTCATCAAGTGTTGTTCTTGTTGTTTTTAAACAAAAAAGGCACAAATAATCTTTTACTACGAGACCATTTTAGCTTGACAGTCCTAATGTAACTCACCATGAATGAGTAAAACGGCTTTTTCTTAAAATGCTAAAATCAGACACACAGGTCCCCAACCTTGGGCCTCCAGATGGACTTCAACTCCCAGAAATCCTGGCCAGCAGAGGTGATGGTGAAGGTTTCTGGGAGTTTTAGTTCAAGAACATCTGGAGGCCCAAGGTTGGGGACCACTGCCTTAAAGTATATCCGAGAGCAACATGTTTCGACGCTCCAGCAATGAGCAGAACATGAAACACGCTAATGGCTACAGACGAGCAATTCTCAGTATTAATGGTTGGGGCAAACATACATACTTTATGAATAGATGCATAATGGGCACATTCAATATATATTTCAGTAATATATATTGCAAAGGGCCTTGGTAGCTGGCAAAAGTAGAAAAAAACTGCAGAAGACTGTTCTGTTGACCTGGCACAGAAATATGAATCGAATGGAATATTGCATTCGAAATGGAAATTGTTTGCACGGACAACACTTGACTCAACAAGGTGGTGATAACTGCCATCTGCAGGCTGTGGGCAGGTGATGGATGCCAAAACCTTGTGATGGCTTATAGCCTTATAGCTTTATTTTTGAACTGTGAACCGATACGTCCTCCTAGGATGTAGGATCGACATATCTCTGTCTTTCAGCTCCACCTGCCTTTTCCATTTGCAAAATAGAAACTTTAAAGTTGACCAACCCTGGAGGGTCAATATAAGGATTTGGAGATAATGTACACCCAATGTTTGGTTCTCTATTATCATACTTATCTATAAGTTGTTGGAGGCTCAGGCTAGAACACCATGTCTCAGCTTTTGGCTCCATATAGGGTAGTGAGGAATTTCCCCAGCCCTACCTGGATATCACCCTGACAGTCTGTCTCAATACGCTGAGACGCACTGTTGAGAAATCCCATGACAAACCCTGAACCCCAGGAGATGTCTCACCTCTGCTGCAAGAAAAAGAGAGAGAGAGATTTTCTCCCTGCCAAAGTTCTATTGTCTGCATGAAAACAGTGCTGTGCAAAACTAGTATCTTTTCTTGTTTTTAAGCAAAAATCACATGGAGTGTTCAGAGAAAGACAGGCTGAAGTCAACCTAAACAACTCATCCAACCGATCCCAGTTTTTAAAAGTCCATACACCGAGGTAGCAGCTGTCACACTTCTGCAGGATCTGGATAATTTACAGAACTTACAGAAGTCATTCTCATGAAGCTGAGAACTGGTGGAATTATAGCACCTGAATATTATGACTTCAGGAAGTTTGGATGGGAGAGGCTTTGGGGTGAATGTCAATCACTTAGCAGCAACCAATTTTTCACTCTTTATTTCTGATTCCTTTCCCTGCCATTTTACTCAGTCAGGGTTGTGTGTCAGTTAGCAATGTTAGTGTTCTGTGTGCATTAGAGTTTGACAGTTACGGAGTCAGCAGTAAAGCGTCTGAGTGAAGTGTTTATATAACCAGTCCATTAATCACAACAATGATGTCAACCAGTTAAGATCTCAAACTATGTAACAAGCAAATATGTTTTGTTTGTTGTTCTGTCATATACGAAGATTTGTGAGTAAAACAGAAACATGTTTTATTCTTTCTCAACACTGGAGTCTCTGAGTGAATCTATTGAAACTATGTTGTTAATAGAGGTAAAATTAATCAAACAATAATGGGTGGTATATCTGAGGGAGACTTGTAATTATAATAATCTGCTCTCTAGGTCTCTGTGTGGATTTTTTTTCCTTTTCTCTATCATGTAGTTGGATTTTTTAAATCCTGCAGTTTCCACACTCTGCCAATAAACTTCTATTAATGCTGGGCTGATGTTGCCTTGCAAGTAAGGAGGGGATGGAAAAGAACTGTTTCTCACTTTCAGGTGTGAGGAAAAGACAGGTGAAAACAAAACCAAGTGAGGATCGTTTCATTTACTATGCTCCTGTTGGATGGAAACAGGGGCCATAGGGCCAGCCCTTGAGGTTACTATCTTGGAACGTCAGGTGATAGAGGAGGACTGCAGAGAACCACACGGAAGGCCACTCTAGTCCTCCCTCTTCTGTACTTCCAGAATTCAGCTGCAAGTTGCCAACCGGCTTCCCAGACCCCTGTCCCTCCTTGACGTCAAAGCTTGCTTCATGCTGTCACCTTCCTTCAACTTTGGCAATGCATCAAGAAAAATAAAATTAAATCAGTTTTTTTTAAACGACGATGGGTGCTGGAGAAAAAAAAGGACCTGACATAACATGTACTTGTTAAAGTCATCATAAGCATCAGAGGCATCCTTCAGTCTCAAGAGACTATGGTATCGTGCTCTGCATGGAGGACTTGGAACAGTGTCTAGTGTGGCTGAGAAGGCCAATTCAAGAGTGACAATCCCTTCCATACTTAGGACAAATACAATCTGTAACAAGCAAATATGTTTTGTTTGTTATTCTGTCATATACGAAGATTTGTGAGTAAAACAGAAACATGTTTTATTCTTTGCCAACCAGCTTCCCAGACCCCTGTCCCTCCTTGACGTCAAAGCTTGCTTCATGCTGTCACCTTCCTTCAACTTTGGCAATGCATCAAGAAAAATAAAATTAAATCAGTTTTTTTTAAACGACGATGGGTGCTGGAGAAAAAAAAGGACCTGACATAACATGTACTTGTTAAAGTCATCATAGGCAGCCTTCAGTCTCAAGAGACTATGGTATTGTGCTCTGCATGGAGGACTTGGAACAGCGTCTAGTGTGGCTAAGAAGGCTAATTCAAGAGTGACAATCCCTTCCACACTTAGGACAAATACAATCTGTACCCCGTTTAGCTCCCTGATTTTGCTGTTTTCGTGACTGCCTCTTTGCCCCAGCCTGCTGGACAAGGGTCTCTTCAAAATGGGAGAGGCCGTGATGCAATGCTTGCCTCCAGGCTGAACGCTCAGAGGTCAAGGTTTCCCATCTGTTGAGGCCCATTCCTAAGGCCTTCAGATCCCGCTTGCAGATGTCCTTGTATCGCAGCTGTGGTCTCCCTCTGGGGCGATTTCCCTGCACTAATTCTCCATACAGGAGA